ACAAGACTCGTAATCATTGCTTTCTCTTCTCTTTCTGGTATAATCAAAACAATAATAAAAATCATAGCAAGAGAGTGATGTAATATAAACAGAGTGGGAGAGAGAGGTAGAGAGGGAGAGAGAAATAGAGAGAGAGAGAGAGACAGGGATGGTAAGAGTAACATGCAAATAGTCAAATTAGTAGAAAATTAGAATAGGACGTCTCACTTCCTAATAAGAACAAAGGTAATCTGTTCTTAACAAGTAAATGAATCTTATTGTTTTCATTTAAATCTTTTAAACCTTTGTTTCAGTTTTTTTCGTTCATATCTATGCCCTATAGTTAGTATAGACATGAGCGACGCTAAAACACACTAAACTATGAAAATAAACTAGAAGAATCAGACGAAATCAGCTGTAGGCGAAACAAATAAGGAAGTTTGTCGTGGGAACGGAGGCAAACTATCAGCTGACGAGAGAAACAAGCTATGGGGCGTCGACGCCATACTGTCTGCCCTCCAAGTCAGGTTCTTCTTTTTTCGATTATAAGCTTTTCAACTATTATGTGCCCTCCGAATCAACCTCTGCTAACTATGCCATCGGTGAAGTTTGAAAAATCATTCCATTTACAAACAAGTTCATCTACGAGCATACGGATTTAACGGTGAAGCATTGAGCATGTTCCAGTCTGTGAATTTTTCTAAAAACCTGCAGTTGAAGTTTGTTTGTTTGCTCACAACTTTGTGAATCAAACGAAAAATTCAGGACTGAAATTCGAACCTGCCGTTGCCAAAACTTGAGTGAGACGATCATCTATCCAGCTTCAACTTCTGTTACAAACATTCAAATGAATATGTAGATCTGGATTCTGAAACAAGTAATTGAAAAAAATATGAAAGATATATGATATTTCAATAGATTTATAAGTCATTGACAATGGCGTAGAAGCCAGCTGGCAGTCATTCAGTCTATCAGCTGATCAGAGAAAGAAAATAAAAAAAAACTTCTGGATAACATAACAAGTCGATTACACTTGAAGAAATAATCTTAAAGACGACGAGAAATTTACCAAAAAAAGTGATCATGAGGTTTGAGAGAGAAGAAGCAAGAAGTGTGTGGTAGGAGGAAGAAAAAAATTAAAAGATCAACTTGCCATTGAAAAGAAAAAGAGAAAAAGAGAGAAAGAGAGAGATAATTGGCAAGAGAGAATAGATCAAGACAATTTGGAACAAAAAAGGAAAACTGGGCGAACGTCGAGGAACTTCTCGAAGGACAAGAATATCATATTTGTAAAGTTGAAAAGTTTTTTATTAATTAAATCATTTATAATTGAATGAACATGCTTTAAACTTCTGAAAAGCAGAGCTGAAAGTTCTTTTCACTTCACTACGCTCTGACTCTGTCCAGCTGATCTTTCTACTCTCTGTCTCAGTCAATCTTTACTGCTCCAACTATTTTCTTACAATATGAAGCACAGAAAAAAAAATGTTAAAGAAAATCAAAAATAAATTTTATCTGTCATCTCGCGATACTTCAGTAGAAATGAAGCTGATGAGAGAAGGTGCGGGACACACTAGAAGGATTTTCAAATGGAGGGAATGGACTATTCTTACGTCAGTCTCTTCGTGTTCAAACACCACATAGATCGATCCCATCTCACTTCTCTAATTCTCTTTGTACAATATCCTTTTTCCCTCTTAGATTTCTATTTCTCTCTCTCTCTCCCTCCTTTTCATCTTATTTTGCTCACATCTCTTAATAATTTCTCATGAATACAAGTGAGCTGATGCCTTCTCTCCGTAAGCAGACATTGATTTACAGAGAGAGGTAAGCGGAGAGAGAGAGGAAGCGAAATGGAAAGGAGAGAATGAGTTAATACGTAATAAAAGAGGGTAGCGTGAGCAGGTTACCACCAAACTGAACAAAAACATTTATTCATGAAGACTTTACAGATATATAGGCAGAGAGAGGAGGAGAAGATATACAGAGTGTGAAGAGAGAATGAGAGAGAGATCTGGAAAGAGAGGTGAAAGAGAAGAAGTAGTATATATCCTGTGAATGTACGAAAGATAGACTGCCAAATATGTTGAAGCCAATAATCTCTCCTTCTTTTCCATTTCTCTCTCTCTCTCTCTCTCTCTTCTTTAAGTCCGCTTTGTAGTCTCTCCAACACAGATTTATGGGTGGTCTTAAAGCTACTTTCTTAGCTTTTATAATCATAATTGTTACTAACTATACATATATATGTATAACATAGTTTACAAAGAGGTTTTATAGAGAACTAAAACAACATTCATTTCCGTCTCATATATTAGAAGAGAAAATTTGAAAATTTTTTTTCCCAACAACCTTAGAGGGAATGAATGAGAAGAACAGGTTAGTGATTGATTTTCACAGAAACTATTCATATAAACTTTGAAGAAAGACAGTCTCTAATTCAATAAGACGAACTTTCATTTCATTTTCTGTGAAATACTCTCCTCGTCACAAAGGTTTTCTCGCATTCAAATGTAAAAGCTCAATAGAAATTATCTGACGTTCTCATACAAAAGGAAATGAAAAGAAGAGAAGAAGAAAGAGAAAAACCGAAAGCCAAAGAATACAAGCAGACACATGATGATGATGCAATCATCACAACCAACCGTTCCTCAATTCAAATGTAACAAGCTAACCAACAAACTATGTGACAATAATGTCACGTGTAGGTGGATTGACATGCGTGTGAGTAACGTCATCTAAGATTACGTGAAGCGTGAAAGATAAGAAAACAAGAAGCTAATAGCTTACAGTTTTGATAAATGAAAGAGGTAACGCATGGAACTGGAAAGTATAGGAGACGGCTGGAGAAAAACAGAGAAAAGAATGAAATTCTTCGTTGAATTTTTGTTTTTTTTTTATTATTTACTTGTCGTCATTCAATTAAACAGAAAGAATCTGTAAGATAAGAAGATCTGAGAGAAAGAGAGAAAGAGAGTATGCTGGAAAGAATCAATACAGAGAGAGAGAGATAGAGAGAGAGAGAGAGAGTAAGGATAACAGTTGGTTTTCATAATTAGCAAATTGACTGGAAAAGTTAATTACGTTGTATGCTTGAGGATTGAGATTGATAACGTTCACATTTACTTCATCGTCAACATTATTGTTGATTGACATCATAAACATATTCATTTTGTTATCAAAACTAGTTAACAACATTTGGAAGGATTAAGAGGTAGAATGTAGGAGAGAAGTACCAATAAGTATGATTTGTAAGCTGTCTAATGACTCCAAGTATGGAAATTGAAGTATATCATATTTCATGGATTATAATGATTAAAGGTATAATTAGCATAGAATAGTCTATGAATAGAATAATCGAGGAGGAGGAATGCCAAGGTGTTTCATACATTTTTTCATAATTATATATAAATATATGAAACACATGCAGTATATAGCATGGGGGGAAAGGCTTGAAGCCTAGCATAAGCTTAATTATACTCAATTTTCAGCATATATTATATGTATATATATGTATATATCTTTTATTAGTCAATATATAATCTGTATGAAAGACGTCTTTTAACTCTGATTTGTTTGTTGTTAACCGAGACGACGCCCGCTTAAATAGAATTTTAAATTTTGCTTTTTGATCAAAAATGAATTTAATGTTGATTAGCAACTATACGTTAGTGTAGCATAGTTACCCCCAGACACTACTCTGACAACAGAATATGGGAAATGATGCTCATGAGGTAGCTATGGTAGACGAATGAATGGGCTCAGGTTGGCATATCGCACAACGTAAAGCTTTGTTGAAGTTGAAAAGCATGAGAGAAGAAAAAAAAAGTTACAAAAACCTTCTGGATAATGCCATGGTATACTTTCCATCGTATTCTTTAACGAACATATGCTTTTGCTGACAGAAAAGCTGGAATCATAAACAATGTTGTCAAACTATATGCTAAGAAGATGGAAAAGAAGATGACGATGCGATTGGTGAGAAGCAAGCAAAAGAAGAAAACGAAGACGCCGAAGAAGAAGAAGAAGAAGAAGATGCAAAGACGAAGAAGAAGAAGAAGCAAATGCGGAAAGTACGAAAAGAAGTCTTCGACTACGCAAAAGAGCTTCAAAAATTCAAATATAGAAATGTATACTTCCTACAGTCATCTGCTATAGCGACCAACCGCTCACCGCCTACGATCAAAATGAAAATGAAAAAATCACGTTTTCACTAATGATTACATACGTGGTATGTTTGATATTCAAATGAGAAATCAAAAATGACAAATTAATTAAAAACAAAATATGAATTGAATTTAAATGAAAATGGTATGACATATGAAGATGTTAATTAATTGTTTCACTTAGACAACCAACATTTTCGTTCCATTTATGGGCAAAGTGTCATGGGTATTTTGTAATTCTCAATGGCCATTTTATAGGTCGTTTTGTCATTTTTCAAACTAATAAATCAAATAAAATCAAACGAAAAATCTGATAAATGGCTTTTAGCTGTATTCAATGCTGTTCTCTCTCTCTCTCTCTTTCATTTCCTCACTCAATCCTCTCTCTCTCTCTTTGAATCTCTTTGTGATTTCCCTCACAATTCTCACGAGGAATCAAAAAGTCGCAAAGTAATTATCCGGTTATCGAAAAATATCCAAAATTGGATCGATTCCAATTCATGGAAGTAAAATCCAGTCATTTGCGCTTTTATGACAATGGCAAATCGCCGATTAGCTTAGACTAGTTGGAAATTACAAGAAAATATTTTTTTTTCAAATAAATTATTAAAAAATATGTTTCTGTTTCATTATATTCATTAAAATGCACAGTAAAGAGAGAGGAAACGTCTTCAACGACGTCGATGAGTAGGAAAGAAAAGAAAACTGAGAACCAGAGACGTGTTTTGACTCAAATATTTCGTTTTCTTGACAGGAAAGAGAAAAATGAATCAGAAAAAGAAAAGTTATTCGCTTTCATATATCTGTGTGTGTGTGTGTGTGTGTCTCGTTGTGTTGAAGAAGAGAAGGAGCTGGGCTTTATGGACTGATTAGCTCTTTCTCCTTTCCTGGCGCTGAGAAGAACGAAAAAGAACGATGACGAGATTCTGTACATGAAAAGAGAAAAAGCATATACAGGAGTGACTCGGACAGAGAGGGCTATTTTGGAAACAAATTAACAACCAAGCAGATGTTTTCGAAAGACCGAATTGTTATTAATTATTATTATTTTTATTTTTCTTCAGAATTCATGTACGTCTGCACGATGACGATGATTCGATGCGAAAATTGAAAGGCAAATGATTGTAATGAGCGGAAATGAATGAGAAAGAAAACATTTTTTACTTTTTTTCTCTTCATTGTCATGAGCTTGACGAATATCGGTTATCGATGTTGCTGGAAGCTGTGTGGTTAGACGGTCTGACGTTGACACACAAAAGTCTCCCAAAACATGGAAATATTCAGTAACTGAAAGAAAGTTTTTGCCTCAATTTGTGCTGAAAAGCATAAAGATCTAGTTTAACAGAATTGCCAATTTCTATTCAAAAAAGGTGGAATCATGGCAGAAAAGAAGATTCTGCTATACAGGAAGAGAGAGAGAGAGAGGGAGAAGGATAGAGAGAAAACGAAGAAAACAAGTTTTGACTGGTTGTTTTGAAACTTACAAAGTCCAAAGTTTGTTTATTTCCAGACTGGATAAGTCAAAGTTTCAGAAGAGAAGCTTATCTTATCAATGCTGATAAAAGTAAAAAAAAACTTGAGAAGATTAGGAGAAAACCTGAGGGAGTAAGAGAGAGAGAGAGAGAAATCTGGTGAGGGAGGGCGGAAGGAGGGGATGAGAGAGTAGTAAGGACTTGTGTACAAAAAGAAATGAAAAACAAAAACAACGGAATGATCAAAAAGCTATTTTTATAAACGCAAGTATTTAAACTATATATATATATATATAATATACTATATATATATATATATATATATTGATAGTATAGATGTGTGTTTATATATTTGTGAAGATGATGAACGCTTGATTGTGCCTTATTTGGTATTCTGCTAGATGTAGGGAGTAAAGAAGGAGGGAAGAGGGTAATGTGTATGGAAACACATGAACTACAGCAGTAATAGACGATTGAAATCAGCATAAGAAGTGTGCGAGAAAATAAGAGAAGAAGTTAAGGAGAGAATTTGTTAGGATAGAAAGAATGAGAGAGGGAGGGAGGAAGAAGAGGAGGCTCGAAAGACAGGACGGAACAATGATGAAGCAGATACTGAACGAATCACTGAGGCAGAAGATGATTGCAAAGCATTCCTTTTCATTTATAATGTTGAGAGGTTATAATGAAGCTTTTCAATCAATAAACTTCCATTCAATTATATCTTCTTCATCTTTACCCTTATTAAGCCTATCAACCAACTTCTTAGCCCATGTGATGAGAAATATGAATTACTTCTGTTAATTCTTCAAGTGATACTATTACGCTGAAGAGAGAACGAGGAGCAGAGTGGAAGAACTTTCTTGAGATTTGCCATAATGAAGTAAGTCTTCCTCAATGAGTTGTGGGTTGTGGAGAAAAATCAAAAAAATATTACTGAAAACCAAAATAACAAGAGAGAGAAAGAGGAAGGGAGGGGGTGAACAGGAGAAACAAGGAAGGCTACGAGGAAGAAATAGTAGAAATGGAGAGAATTCTATAAATAATCAATATAAATTGACGATTACAGAAAGAGGGGAAGGGGGGAGGGAGGAAGAGAGGGAGGGAGAGAGAAAGAGAGAGAGAGAGGATTGGAATATGTTCCCGACAGAATTGAAGGAGAAGCTAGATGGACATGTGGCTTTCAAAGAGAAAAAGTAACCAGAAGAATGAAAAATATATATTTGTAACATAAGATAGTTGAAGAAGTTTACTTTGAAGAAAGGAAAAGCTGAGAATAAAAGTTGGTAAACGACGCACAATTTTCTCTTTCAACCTCTCTCTCTCACCATCTCTTTATATGGAAAGATAGCTGAGAAGGAAAAGGAAGCTACATACACATAAAATTGCCATAAAGAGATATGAGAGAGGACGCTTAAGAGAGGACAAATGGAGAGAAACCAGAGGTGAAAAGACAAATGCAATGCCACGAAATAGAGAAAAGCCTTCGCTCTTATACGAAAATCGAAGAATGTTGAGACTGGTCGATGTGCATCAGCCATCTCCATACAAAGACTGTGTCATTTCATTTTGAAGGAACAAACTACAAAAACTACTACTCTCCTCCCCATTTGTTCTTTTTTTTTTGAAAATTTTAAGGAAAAGCTACATTGAGCTAGAAGATTAGAGTAAAAGCTGAGCACTTTTAAAGAGAAGTGAGCTGAAGCTGAAACGAAGTTGATGAAGTTTTTCGCTTTCTACCTCCCTATCTACGTATATATCTCTCTTCTTTCGTCTCTTTGTATCTATCTTGTCGTATTTCCTTTTAAGGTTGTTGAGCGTCTTAGTCGGGCATCTGCTTTACTAGTTATACTATTGGCTAACAACAAAAACTAAATAATATATATTGAATGAAAAACAAATAGAAAATACAAAACAAAAGTCCTTCAAGTTTTCGTTTTCTTCTTTTCTTTGACATGGATTTAACGAAACAGAAGAGTAAAATAAAAAAAATAAATAACAACAACGTCAAAAATTCTGATGGCACTCCGCTGAATTCTAACTACGCCGAATGAGGAGAAGCTTATTAGAAATGTCTTTTTCGTTTTTCGCTTTGTAGTCATTGGAAAGAGAAAAAAAAACATAAAACATACTTGAATACGTTGTGGCAGATCGAAGCAAATGGCCACGATAACCGTGTAACAGCTTAGACCAGCCAGCATCACCAAAGACTTTCATGACTAGTTCCTTGAGGTCCATATATGGAGGGTAAACGTAAAGCTGAGGCTATCCATGATGCTGTAAACAAGTCATTTATCTCTCAGATAAGAAGCAATAAAATGATGAAAATCATTGAGAAAAATGAAAAAATCATGAAAATTCGTGGACAGATGGTTCCACCTCCTTCTCGTACTCTCTGGCGCCCTCTTGCTGCTTAAGCATGTCTCAATCAGATAATCAGAGCAAGTAAAGTAGTGAGAGAAAAAGAAAAAGTAATGTTTTTTGAAAGAGATTCTTAACTAACAGTTTTCTCTGCTCCTCCCGTTACTTCCTGTCTTCAAAAATATCTTTTTGTTTCGAAGAATCTTTGTATTTTATCTTTTATAATCTTATCATTGCATGTGATTAAAAGTAAACCTTCTTTTTTCTTTTCATTCTAACAGCTGCATCGAATAGTTTTTCGTCGTTGATGACTGCTTATCAGATGAATGAACGAAGATGTCAGCTGATTTATACTACTTCTCAACTTCAGGATTGATTTGTTCTAAAAACGGAAAAGATGCCGTTAGTGATGCTACAGCTGACGAAGCTTCGCATGTATAGATGCTGTCCACGACCAAGACTTTAGACCATAGGGACTCATCCACATTGCTTTTCACACTCCAAAGCTCTTTCCGATCAAAACTTCGACATGCGCTTACTTCGCTGTGCTTAATGCCAGACTTTATACAAAAAAAATTTTTTTTCCTAGAAATGAAAAAAAGGAGGGAAAAGAAAGATCACGCGAGAGATTTGATTGGATGTAAGTCATCCGTCAAAGATGCTTCTCAGACAGAACGAATTGGCTTTTAAGAATATTGAGAGAGAATGATTCATCATAATGGTTACATGTTATTCACATACTAATAACTAAGCGATGGACAGCAGCTTTTCGCCGAAAGCCCAATGAGCTTCATCTTAACAAACATGCAATGATGTTTCTTCCGTTCTTCGTTAACAAATACAATATATGCCAACAATAACATATCCATTTCAGCTTATAAATTGTATTTTTTTTTCTTCGCAACCAAATGAACCCATTTGACCATTTACGCAGTGGATGGACAGACGCATGTCTCAAATTTCCCTTTTTGATTTCTTTCAAATACGTTCCAAATGTTGACAACCGTAATGTATTTGGTGGTCCGAGCGATCAAACAACTCACAAGCTTCCCTTCTTCCTTCAATATGTTTGAAACAGAATACAGGGAGCAAGCCAAAATAGATATGACTTTACAAGATATATTTGAGAGAACGAAAGAAAGAGGCAAGATTGCAAGATAGAATATCGACAGAGAGAGAATGAAAGAGAGACAGAGAGAGAGAGAGAGATAGAGAGACAAGTGAGCTACTCCATATATTGTCTGCTTTCTCGCATTTTTTCATTAAATTCTCTCTAAGACATAATTATAGCTCTAACTATCTATCATCTCTTTATTCTGTAATAGAGAGAATAGTATTCTCTCACATGAAATGTTATGAAAAACAATCTTTATGTGAAGCTAAAGAAGAAGCATATTAGTCATGAGACAATTCTAACTTGATCGCTGTTTCAATTGCAAAGTCAATTATTTATAAAGTGAGGGAGTATAAGCGAAATACAAATAATGTTTTTTATTCTTAATTTATATAATATACTATATAAGTACAGTATTATACTATACACATACACACACACACACACACATTCTCACGTGAGCCATACACGTAACAGCTATTATATTGGCTCATTCAAGCTTCTCATTGCGCAGTGAGCGGTTGCATTCGTATCTCCAAATACATAAACAGTCAATGGTATACAGGAGGAAAGGGGACGTTACAACACAAACTTTTTCTATTTTTTTTGTGTTTCTGAATAAAGATAATTTTAAATTGGGACTTCATTCAATATGTCATGAAATAAGAAAAAAAGAATGTACGAGGAGAGAAGGATGACAAACGATTTGACAGAGACACACAATTCAAAGACACACATTGTATTGTTTGTATTAAATAATTGAAAATTATATTTAAAAAAAAAAGAAAAAAAAAGAGAAAAAGAGAATATAATGAAAAAGAAAAAGAAATTTTCACCAATGCTTATAATCCCAGAAAGTTAAAGCTTCAATCATTTTGTTTCTTGTCTTTCAAAGATACATCTACATGAAAAACAAACCTTTTAATTGGAATAGACAATTTATGATGCAAAAACACATTATGAGGGACAAAGAAAGAGAGAGAAAGAGAGAGACAGAGAGGGAACGGAGGGAGATACGAAGAGCTATGAACGCTGACATTACATTAACCTTCTAGTCATATGAATTAATCTTTGAAATCCTTGTTTCAGCTTAGAAGTTTGCGGTCGTTTTCCGAATGTCTTCTGCTCTTCTAATCCAGCCAGAATAACAGAATCGAACATCTTCAAGTAATTTGAATAATTAAAAGTTACTTTTATTCCTTTTTTCTTGTATATACCTGCTTAAGATTTTCTTGAGTTAAAGCTGAGCATTCATAGAATTCGACTGCTCTTATCTGATTAGCAAGCTGTTTTCCTCGTGAGGTTGAGATACAATCAGAAATATTATAATCCCATCCACGACGATCAGATTGAGTACCAACGAGTATAACTATACGTTATAAATATAGTATATGATGGTAATATAAATGTTTTTACCTGGAATATTTGGTGATACCTTGGATATCTCAGGCATCCAACGATTCATAACTTCATCAAACGATCTTCTATTAATTACAGAATACACAACAATGAATACATTACAGTCTGGATAAGATAATGGCCGTATTCCATCAAACTTATGCTGAAAGCATGTAAGTATGAGAGGATTTTATTAATTTTCAAGTTAACTTCACATATTTTCACTCTCTTCATCTCTCATCTTCATACTGAAAGAGATTAGTCTCTTCTTCTAATTATAGAAAATGATTAAACAAATTGAAATTGTTGACCTTCTTTGTCTTCAATTTTTCCTTTGTTTTCTCTTCAACAAATTCTGTCATCTTTATCGTTTTCACTCCTCCCTCACACCTCACAGACACATTTAATCTTAAGCTTCATCATCTAAGCCCAAATTGACTCTGACATGATTTCTCCTAAAGATTTTCTAATCTTCACCACTTTATTAGCTCTGGTGCAATCTCAATATCCCCGTGGCAGGTTTCTCTATTATCCTATCATACATTTAATATTAATACAAATTATTTTTAGCCTGATGTATCGGCGGTTCGTAAGCCGTAACCCTATCATACGAGTGAATGGATCATTAGTACAAAAGGTTCCAATGTCGTATTTGCCTTCAGCTTCAGCTCCTAATGCTGGACCATTAGCTCGTGTAATTAACAATTACAGTAAGTGTTTTCCATTTTTGCAAAATTTGCATAAAAATGTTGAAAGAGAGGAAGGGAGAGCAAAAAAAAACTTGAAGAGTGCGTGAGATGCGTGTCAAGCCACGTGAAGTCAAAGCTTCATTTTGTATTTCGAACAGCTAGTGAACGGTTGTCCCATAGCGTTTCGAGATGAAAAACAAAAAGAAAGAAATCAACCTGTCCAGCTGTGTCGCATAATTGAATTCTAATCGGCTTCTTATCCACATTCACCACAACTAATAATATTATAAACTTATATTATATATGCATATAGTTAAGAACCTGAATAGTTATCGAAGGTAGTTGGAACATATTTAGTGGGATATCCTTGTGTTGTATAAGATACAATCAAAGATGTTTTACCAACTTCTTCTGATCCAATAAAAACGCATTTCAATGTTCGAATTATATCAGGATCCGTCTCATACATCGTCTAGAATGAATAATTTCATGAAATGCAAATATTCAGAAGCTAGTTCTCTGAACGAATCACAAAACCAAAATGGTTTGTGGATACATGAGAAAATGAGTACAAGAGAGAGAGAGAGAGAGAGAGGAAAAGCTCAAACATATAGTAACTTGTGTCATAAGTATATAATTATCAAAACAATAACTTGTGAATGTGACTCTAAATAAGGTCATATGTCCTTTTTTTACTTTTGAAATAATTATGGAACATCTGGTAGTAAGATTGATCGGATAACAGCAAGATCATACCGAGGTCACTCTTTTATGTGTTTCACAGGGTTTTTTGTGAGTTTTGAGTTCAATTTTTGATGTAGAATGAGGGAAAGTAGTCTGAAGGTAGATGTTCCAATTAGAAAATAGAATGAAACGTTAGATTTATTTGTTTCATTCTTGATTGTTTTCTTCGGGACATTCCTTCGTTTGTGAAATCAACTGAAAATCCCCCCAAATGGACGATTGACAGGGAAAAAACGTAGTGACGACGTGTAAATCATGATTATGAGTGAGAAAAACGGAATTGTTTTAGATAGAAGAGCGATGAGATGAAAAAAAATACAAAAAAATGAGATGAAGTGACAGAAAATGGTATGCGAGGCCACAGTCATGTTCATCTAGACCAAGACTGTCTCGGAGAGATGAGATGAAGGGTGTCAGGAGGATAGAATAACAAAGATTTTTGTGAGAGAATAAGATGATGATGAAGAACGAAACAAAAAATGAACGAGACATATTAGTTTATGATGAATAATGGTTTTATGAAAAAAGATAGAAAGAAAGAGAATCAGTTTCTTGAAGTTACAAGCAGCTTCACACTTCATGGAATATCTCTTGATAGAGAAGGCTTGATTAGGTGAAAGGAAAGAATTATGGCCTGATAATAATGATGTTGATAGATTAAGAGGGAAATTCATTTGGAATATAGAGAGAGGGAGAGAGAGAAAGAGTTGAAGAGATTGATAGAAGGAGAGAGATAGAGAGAGAAATCCACAGGAAGAAGATGCTGCTGATAATGATGATGTTTGTGAAGAAAAAGATGGATTGAATGATAATAGAAATCAGGTTTTAATTCCAAATTGATTGTATTGGACAATGGGGATGGCAAGGTATCCCCTCTAGTCTTTCTCTCTCTCTCTCTCTCTCTTTGGTTGCCTTCTGAACGAGGAATTCCATCCATGGATGAGAAAAGAGTAAGATAGAGAGAGAATGATGGAAAGAGAGTCTTAGTTGGCCTAATTAATTGATAAGAGCGAATAGTAAGGAAATACAATACAAAATAAAGAAAGCAAGAGAAGTGGATATAACAAGGTGAGGGAGGAGGTAAAAGGATACAAAAAAGAAGGAGAGAGAAAGTATGGGAAATGGGTAATTACGGAGATTACTTTATAACTTTTGATAGAAGGGACATGTGGCCTAGTATATATTCATCTCCACTGCTTCAATTTTAAACAGAAGGAGGAGTTCAACGGTGAGAAAGAGAAATATGTATGAATGAAGAAAGAGAGAGAGAGGAACATTAAGAGAGAGACAGCATTGGGGAGCTGCTTTGAAGAGAAACTTTCAAGAGTTGGAATAGATTAGTGGGTGGTCATTCTTTATTGATAAGGCCATCGTCTATCATTTCATTAAAATTTTTAAAAAATATTTTAATGCAAAGTCCTTGAAATAGATAAATAGGTTTGGGTATCGAAAGAGAGTTTGCAGAGAGTTGAATGAAACTGAACGAACTTGGAGAATGAAACAAAAAAATAACAAAAATTTTTGAAATTTCCTAAAACAGATTGATGAAGGTCAGTGGATTCAAGCAGTGAGAAATAGATTTATACAAATACCATTGTTTATTGATTGAAATGATTGGGGGGAAAAGTTGAAAACTTAAAAAATGCTGAAATGAAACTGGAAAAGTTGCTTCGTGAGAGAAAAAAAAGAAGAGGATTTAATTGAATTAATTATATTGTTGATTTATGATAAGTAAGGAGATGGATGAGATGACGCTTGTATACAGTGCGATAGAGATATAGAGAGAGAGAAACAGAGAGAGAGGACAATGAATGTCTAATGACTTGATGACTTTTCATTTGTTTTGTTTTTTCTACAGATTCTGCAGTTCTTCCATGTTGTCGTGATAGGTTTGGAGAACAAGCATGTCAGTCATTACGAAAGACGCAAACAGCTGTTTTTGAGAAAAGGTAATGCCCATTAAGGAATGAATGAATATAGAAGAAGAAGCTTCTCATTTAAGATGTTTGAATGATCACGATTTTCATACATTAGACTGTTGTGCTGAATGTCGTTCGTATATTGAAAATCGTAAGTTTTCAAACGATTTTTCTTAAACAGTTTTATGAAATATATTTGCAGATAAAATTCATCCAGATAACGCTCGTCAATTGTTCAAAGTAATTTATAATTAACTATATATAGATATAACTAACTATAACATATCATAATAGGCGCCATCGCTATGTAAGGACAAACATTCATTGAAGTTCTGTCGTCGATTCAAAAGTTCTGGATTAGGCAAATTCAGGTTTGTTTATATAACTGTTTGTTGTTATCAAATCGAAAACTGTCTGTTAAAACTTAAAGTTGTGCTGACGCTGAATTCGCTGTGAGAGTCTGTCGACATAGCTGTGGATACTGTAATGATGGCTTATATGCTGCAAGTAATACCGCACCATTATGTCATTCACCTGTGAAGCTTAACTTAACAAATCTTCTCAATTCAACATAATGAGCTTATAAGAAGCTCTGATCATCTCAGTCAGAGATGATTAATGTCATTTTCGTTTGTTGAAAATTCAAATGTTTACGTGAAATTCACGGTCCCATTTTCATTTTTGTTTAATAGAGACGCATCGAGCGGTTGTTCCTGGCTATTCTCGTTCATGTGGCCGACTATATGTGATTTCGTTTATTTCTCGAAAATTTATTTTAAACAAATTATATTCTTCTTTTAAGTTTTATTATTATTATTATTAATATAACATATAATTTTAAAATATTGCCTCAAACGTACATACTTAAATGGGAAGAGAAGGGGAGGGGAGATGGTTTGAAATTGAACATTTTGGTCAAAGTAGACATAAGAATGAATGAAAACGTAAAAGACTCCTGATGTACCCGCTTAACTATATAATATAAATCATTTGTTCCATTTTGTTCTTTTTTGTTCTTTTTCGTTAAATATAAATAATAGTATATGAAAATATTAATAATATGGATATCAATGATTGCTCATATCCATTGTTAACTAAGGCTATCTGCTCTTGTTGTAACACAGATTCACAGTTGATTGAACAAAGATTGACTGCATTATAGAAGACTGAATCTTCACAGGTACAATGAGCTGCATCAACACAGTTTTCCAGACGAGACCTCAATACCTATAATATAATGTATATGTTATAATCTTTCATATTATGTGAGCTTTGGAAGACTTTCAATCTGGCAGAAATGGAGTGAGGAAGAGGAAAGCTGACCTTTGCTAAAGCTCGTCGGAATCGTTGACATGTTCCTATATTATCTTTCTCCGGTGTTATATGGGATGATAATGAATTTAATTCCATAACAGCATTCTGAAAATTAATATTTCACATTTCAATCATCTATTGATAGCTCTACCTGCTCTTCATCTTGTTCATCCTTTGTCATTGAACGACGACATATGAAGACTGTGTCTCGTGAGCATGTTTGATCACAAACCTATTTTCGTTCAATGAATTCATCGTTATACCGTTCGAACTTACTTGTTTTCCAAATCCTCTGTAAGCTAGAAAGACTTGCATGGGTAACTTTTTTCCAAAAACCATATGATATTGAACGGCGGCCACCTAATTAAGGATGAGATTGATGAAAAGGAAGAAGCCAAATTCGTAATACCGAAGCTGCCATTTGATCGCTACAACCTGGATAATGAAAGCAAAGGGAAATCCGTCGTACATCGTGGCAAAGAAAGAAATTTCTAGTTCCTTAATAAATAAATAAGAAGTAATAGTAGGTGTCTGATGACTCATACCTCGTCGTTTTTCTATTGATGTGTTATTAAATTTGAAAAAGCCTAACTCTTTCCGTCGTCGAACAGGAGGATGTAAAGCTGCCTGAAAGTATACGTTTGAGATTGAATAGACAAAGGGCATGTATCATCTTCATGTTCAATCTACTTGTGTGTATGAGGGTGTATATGTGTGTGAATCAAAAGTTTTGTTCAAACTTACCAAAAAAGCTTCCCTGAAGCAATTTTCAAGGTCTAATTCATAACATTGTGGAGCTTGAGAAGCCGAATTGAATAGGAACGGAGTAACAAAAATGGGAAATGAAAGGAGCAAAACCTGCATCCAGCGTACGATATTTGACATATTTATTCACATTTGTCTGCAATGAAAGAATTATTTTTATTTTAAAAGAAAAATATTTATAAAAGGAAGAAAAAAAAAGAATTTTTTTAAAGAAACGAGAATGACATAATGGCCAAGGACAGAAGATTGACGGAGAGAGAGGGAGAGAGAGAGAGCGATGTAGAGAGCAGCCAGCAACTAGTAAGGCTTCTCATAAAAGCTGCTCCGTAATTATTAAATTAATATGATGAAGAGTAAGAATATAATAATAAAAAAAAAGAAAAGGAAATGTTACAAAGGAAAGATGAGATGGCCATATCGGATAAATCAACCACGAGGGACTCATTCAATGAAGTCAAAAGAGACAATAAAACACATTGAAACTCTGAATTTTACAAATATTCTTTTTGTTATTTGGTAACAAATTCATGTATTTCCACTATTTTATTGGCGATATTCAGTATAAAATAGAGAGAGAATTAGAGAGAGTGAGAGAAGGAAGGAAAATGACGTAAGGAGAGTTTGATCAGAAGGAGAGTGTGAGAAGTGTGGTAGATAGATAAGACGAATGAATCTCTCTTTGAGACAAATATTTAAAAAATGAGTTAATGATCCAGAGAGAGAAGCAGGGATAGGGAGGGAAATGGATCGGAAGAGAGAGAGAGAGGTTTACTACTTCATAATATATTATTTTATGTAAATTATTATAAGAAAAAAGCCGAAATTTGGTATAAGATTTATACCAGAAATCTTCTATCTAATCCGCTTAAAGTGTCTTGGCAACCACCAAAATATGCTTCTAAGAAGCTCAATGTTCTAACAGATTCCAATAGAGGGATTGAATGAAATAGAGAGAAAGAGAGAAGGAGAAAGAGAGAAAGAGAGGCAAGTGAGAAAAGAGAAGAAGACAATAGAGAGGTACAGATTGTAGGAAAGAAGGAAGTAGCATGAGGTAAAGAGGAAGAGAAGGATAAAGATGGAGATGAAGAATACTAACAACAAGACTGTTTCATCATATAACTTTATTATATAATTTTAATATATATATAGATAGAGAGATAAGTATGCATTGATATACATATTCAATCTGCTCAAGGTATGGATGATGAGATAGATGGCAAAGGTGTGGGTGGCGTTAGGGCAATGGCGATGAGGGGAGGGGAAGGGGGTTTGTGAAATCAAAATATTTCTGAAACTTTATTGAATAGAATTAAACTTTAATTTTGTCTTTTTCACAAACAGAGAGCAGGGTTATGGTGTTGGAATAGATGAAGTAGAAGATGAGTTGAATTGAATATTTAATTAAGTTCATGTGAAGTAGAACAGACCACATGTAGATTATTCTGCGAGCACAAAGTTATTTATTGACGAACTGAGGACAAGATGATTATTCCAATGACATTTATACCATCAAAGCCATCAAAATATTTCTATTGATTATTGTGTGAGTGAATGAGCGATTAAGCAATAACACAAACAACCGTTCTTCACACATCCACACATCATCTCGCCCTTCGAAGCAGTATCTACGTGACGCTGCGTGCATATCTTTACGTGATCTGCGTTTATGCTAATATGAATTTGGATGAGACAATGAAATGTGTAACATCAGGAAAGCTGTATATCCTTCTCATGCTCTGGCTCTCTTCCTCTTTGACAACCTTCTCTTGTCTTTTTCTATTGCCGAACTAGGAGAAGCTGCTTTCATGTGTACATGTGGATGTGTGTGTGTTTTGAAAAAGAATTATTATTATAAAAAAAAATAAAGAACCGTAAAAGGATAATATATAAGCTGGAAAGGAAAGTTTTCATTAGCAGAGAATGGTGTCGTGTAGTCTCGTCCATTCAAAGACTTTTGTGGAATTGGGAAGATAAGATTAAAAAAAATTTTTTTTTGAAGAAAAAAAAAAGAAGAAATTTGTTTTGAAAACAAGGAAAAGAATAATAAATTATAAAGAAGAAGGAAAAAAGAATAAGGTAAATGAGATAAAATGCAAGAAAAGATTTCATTTTTATTCTAAAAGATTATGAATCCTCAGTTGAATTTATGTTTTCCATGTATAGAGGGAGAGGGAGGGAGAGAGGGAGAGAGTAACAGTGAGGGAATGAAAGAGAAACATGAAGATTGATAGAGAGACCGAAAGAGAATGAGAGTGAAATAATTAAAATTTGGCTGAGAAACGATAGCTAATCAGAGGGAAAACTGCATACTTTCAGAGAATTTCAGAATTATAATATAAACAGAAAAATAAAAAAAAACAAATTTTTGAAGCAGATTGAAGCTGGCAATCTGAATTGTTTCGTTGAAAAAGTGAGAAAAGGTGCGAAGGGTGGTTTACTTCCGCTCAACAGCTATTATCCTGAATCTTTCTCGTCCTACTACTTTGGAGAAGATGAAGACGTAGAAGATTGAATGTGTCTATCGGGACGAAGAGAAGGCGGTGTTGAATTAGGTGTGATCAGATGAAGGAGAAGCTTAGAAGAGAGAAGGATGAGAAAAAAGTAATATGAGGGAGTATTAGAAAAAGACAAAGAGAAAATGAACAGAGAGAGAGAGAGAGAGAGAGAGAGTGGAAGAGAACAGAAAAAAAGAAATGATCGGTAGGTCATTCACGCTTCACTTCACGTTGCAATTGAGCTTTAACAACCTGAACAAGGAAAAAGATGAATGATGGGAGTGAACGACGATAATGCTCAAATAAGTTTCTCTTTCAAAGCTTCATAACTACAAGTGGAAGTTGAGTTATGCAAAATTCAAACTTGAGCTGTTTTTCCTTCATTTATTCCTAAACAACTGGTGGTCAAAACGAGTAACAGCAATAAACATATCGCTGGTGTCATTATGAGATGTATGAGTTGTGCTGGAAATTATAAAATGGGAAGGTTTTTTACTTTCTCTCTCTCTCTCTCTTCCACTATCTTATATTCAATTCATTATTCTCCCACCTCTCCCTCCATTCACTGTCTGTCTCTTTTACACGCTCTTGTCTCTCTCATTTTCTCCTTCACGTCTTTCCCTTATTCCTATGTGGTAGAAAGAAGTTGACAAAAGTTTTTTTTCCTTCTTCTCCTCTTTCTGCAGCAGCAGCTTCCAACTCCTTTTCTCATCTTCTCCTTCTCTTCTTGCTTATCTTTCTTCTCAACAATAACTGCATACGGAGTATAAAAGTTGAAGAAAAAGAGAAATGAAAAAAATAATTAAACCTAAGTTGTTTTCTCGACGTCTTACGTTCTAATGCTTTCTCACCTCCTCCTCTCGCCTATATAAGGCTCTTCACTCACTCTTTCATTTCGATTCACTTTAATTTCAAACTAAAAATATTCTTTGAATATATTTCATTTACAGCTTTTCTCTCTTTCTTTCTCATTTTCTTCTCTTCTCACCATACTGATCTTATTCTCTCTTTGTATGTTTATCCATATATGGATATCATAAACACACAGGTAGTATAGGCGATCACTGCCTATCTCGCCGGACTCGCTAATATCCATCTACTGTCAAACTCTTTTTCTTTCTTTTTTTTCGTAAAAACCTTTGTTTTTCTTTTGAAAAACAACAAAACGAAAGAAAGGAAAGCTCATAAACGGTTCATATCTCATCCGAAATCCATAGTAAATAACAGAAAAGCATCCAAATTAAAGAAGTAAACAATCACTATAACAACAACCAGGTGGATGATGGATGGTTGAGCTCAATGTTGGTCAAAAGCCAAAGACTCTGCGAACTTTATGAAAAATGATATTTTAAAACACAAAAATTGTTTAAGAATGACATTTTACATGCAGATAAATCAAAATATTTCAATTTCTTTCTTTTAAAATTAAAATTGAAAAGTTAGCTTTCGAAAGCAGTCAAAGATGTTGTTAACTGAAATCGTTCAAATGCGCTTTCTTGTGCTCACTGCTACTAGTGCTGATGATGGTGCTGCTACTGCTACTACTACTACTACCAGCGAACGAGAAAGGCAAAAGAACATGTTTATTTCCTTTTTTGTCTGTTAAATTTAACTCTTTTTTTTTTCTTCATCTTCTTCTTGTAAAGATTATCTGAGTTATTTCAATTTCTCTCATAACATTCCTCCAATTATCTAAATGGAATTGTCAATCATCATCAAGAGCAGTACGGGAGAAGGGAGCTGTAGTACATCACACATCGCATTCTCTCTCTCTCTCTCTCTATTCATTATGAAACTTTTACAATCGGTTTAACATTCATAAGACAATATGATCACATAAGGTTAAGCAGAATAAATGATTTGTAAGCTTTAAACTCAAAAAAGCGATGAGCACACACTCTAGACAACATTCCGGAACATTTTGATGGAAAACTTTCAATATATAGGCTGTGTGTTAGCAAAAAGGCAATAAATTAGGAAGACGTGCCCACTTGGCCGTCCGTCACCAAACTTCTCTCATTTTCAATTTTCTTGGCCAAATTATTTCCTTGAGAAATCTATTTATCCCATTATACACGTTTTTATGTGAATGTTCTATGTTTCACGTGAATTTTCACGTAAAAGTTCATTTAAACGTCAATGAAGCTAGCGAACGGTTGTATTGTGTTTTGTCCATTCCGCTTTCATCAGTCTCTCCCTCTCTTTGTATTTCCCTCCCCTTCTTTCTCTCTCTCTCTCTCTCTCTCTCTCTCTCCTTCTCTCTCTCTTATACTCTCTTTTCGTTCTGTTCGAAAAAAAACAAAATTGAGAAGAAGAGGTAAGAAAGTTAGTTCAGAAACTTCCTCACAAACAAAAGCAAAATGTTGCAAACTTTCCGAAGCCGTTTTCCTTTTTTTTCAAAACTGAACAAAAGGCAAAAATAACAAAGATAAATAAGAAAAAAAATTGTAAGAAATCCATAAGGACATCACTGAAGTGGAAAAGCATTTTTTTTAAAAATTGTAAAACTCAGAGGAGCTAAAAGAGAAATACATGAAGAGAGTGTTAAAAATCAAAAATTATAGAGGATAGAGGGTCAGATTGAAAATGAAGAAACCCTCTTTAAAGATTTTGAATGAAAAGCAGACGTGAATTGAAGAAGAATCGCGTGTGAGAAGATCAATCAGACAGAGGTTAAGGTGCAAGAAACGAAGTCAAACCACAAAAGACGGATTATCTGTCAATGGAATTAGAATGTGAGCTGAGAAGGAGATTTGAAATTCCAAAGAAGGAAGAAAAAAAAAAGAAAAAATGGCTGTCAACGAAAAATGAATATGAAACATACATATTTGATTAAGAAAACAATGTGCCTTTGATTAGAATAATCTAATAAGATGTGGCTGAGAAAATATAACAAAAAACGGCTTTTCATCGGGCGGAAAGCTCTGTTAACTATACATATAGTTAGTTATATTTTATATTTGCTCTACCAGGCCTTTCGCCTTCAGCATTTTTTTTACCAGAAAAAAAAACGATGTAGTAACAAAGACAAATGAGAGAAGAGCCACCATGAGCAAGAGAGAGGGGGGAAAGTGAGATAAGAAAGCTCAAAATAGAAGAAACAGAAGCTGAAGCTTCTTCTCCGTTTGTGTTCAGCTTCTGACATGAATCTTATGTACATAAAATAAGCTTTCTTTCTTACTTCTTCATAATATAGCTCTTCGCTCTCAGTCTTTTTTTTTCTTCTGTCTGTGCCGACAAAAACGATAAAAAAGAAAAATTTATGATCTTCACTACTGGGCTTGAAGAAGTTTTGGTCTTCTTCTAACTTCTGCTTCATCTTCTCTTCAAGCTTTGCCACACAGCAAAAATCCATGCGAATTATCCTTTTATACAAAAACACAATACATTTTTATCACAAAAGAGAGAGAAAGAGAGAGAGAGAAAAAAAAAGAAAGCAGATTCGTGTGCAAAGAAGGGCTTAATGGTCTCAAGAGAGGAAAAGCAACTAAGCTTCTATCTCTTTCTCCAGCCTTTCCACATTCTTTTGCTTAGGACATCACACGTTCCTCTAGTTAATTCTAATGAAAGTTGCTCTTAATATTGAAAGCTTATTATATGAGCCAAAGTCAGAAAGCAACCGATTCAACTGATTATTATTGTAAAAATGAAAATCATACTTTGATACTCAACAGAATCACGTGCGTGTAAAGCTTATTAGCATAAGTTGCTTAAAAGATTTGTATTCGGATATGGGATCTGATGATGATTACGTACAATACAAATGTGAATGAGGAAGCAAAAAGCAGAAAAAAATTTATTTTTTTTATTATTTTGATTAAGCCTAAGTATTATGAGAAGGGATTGCACATAGAGATTATAATTAAAAAGCTACCGATAGCAAGCAAATAGTAGGACGACGAATCATCAAACGAGATCGGTTTTGAGCTCATCTTTCACCTCCGTTATACCCAGAGGGAATATGGAGACAAATTATGAATAAATGTCGGACAAAGGGACAGACAATGAATAATATTATAAGTTATATAGTGTTTGATAGTCAATACTATATGTATATGTCCATGTATGGATGGGTTGTTTGAGAGCGAAAAAGCAATAAGACGTATAAAATAAACTTTTTTTTGGTGGTTCTAAAAATTATGAAAATGCCATCACATCCACATACACATGCTGCACATGTACGCAGATAGATGGAGAGTTAGATAGAGATGAAAGTGATCTGAAGCTGTAAAAGTTGAATATATTAATGAGACATTGAGAATATGGAAAAAGAGCAAGTTGAGGATGTGGAAAGAAAAAAAAGAAGAAGTCCAGTGAGAAGGCTCATAAAAAAGCTTGGAATGCTAATCGGAACATCTGGAAAAATTTGACAAATTATTTTTGAAGATTAAGCTGAACGATAACATGTAGATCACACATTGGTCAATCTGACTCAGATACTGAGTGAGAAGGGTTGAAATCAGCCAACAACAAAAAAATACAAATAGTACGTTCATTCATTCCGTATTTGTCTATTGATGAGGGGGGGGGGGGGGGGGGGGGGGGGGGGGGGGGAAAAATTTTTTTT